AAACAAAAAAAAAAATGATTGCTGAATATACAAATGACTAACCTTTATGACATACTCTCATCAATAGTCTCATTTTCCTTCAAAACATTCTTCAGAACGCTAGGTGGGTAAGTTTTAGAGTTAGACAGATCTGCTTTACCACTAGTCTTATTGTGGGAAAATCTTAACCCTCTGAGACTGTTTCCTCATCTAAAAAATCAGAATTAGGTGAGAAAATGTATAGAACTTGCCACATTGATGACTGATTGATTTTTCCACAAAAAAAAATACATGGAATCTACAGGATTTAAACGAGACTCCAAAATCAGGTAAATACTATGGAGCAAGAGGCGGGTCTCCCCCACACCCAGACAGCTTCTGGCAAACCCAAAACCCTACCAAGGTTGATCTGTTGGCCAGAGCAGTGAGGAAGTCTACAAAGGCAAAAGCTTATTTAGACTAAACAACTGGTCACGTACAAACCCATGTTGCATGTTATTCTGACTTACATGTTGACTGCTGTCCAGACACGGTGGTGGATTGGTTAGCTGAGTCAAAGGTTTCCGAAAAGGAGACAGGAAACACTCTTGGCTCTGGATCTCACTACTGGATTTCCGCTTCTTAAGCACCTAGGAAAGAGTATGGGGAAAGTTTACATCTACAAGACTATTGAGATCACCATAATGGCCATAATATTCAAAGTGATATTAAGAGTTAAGGACCTTTCAAAGCTCATCACATGCATTGTCTTGTGTCATCTGCACAACCCAGGAATATAGGTTTATTTATATATTTATTCATTCATTCATTCATTCATTCATTTTATGTGTGTACCGTCAAATTGGATCTGACTGGTACAGGAGGCGATTTGTTCCTCCTTCTTCAGCAGAGCATCTGGTGGATTTGAACAGCGCACCTCTGGGATTGCAGTGCAGTTTCCTATCACTAGGCCACCAGAGCTCGCCGAGGAATATAGGTTTCTTTTTAACCACCCTCATTTAACAGGTAAGAAAACTGAAGCTTGACAACAAAATTAAATAACTTATCTAAAGAATCAGGTGTGCCTGATCCAGGCCATAGTCTTTGAAATTACTTGCTATGCATCAGAAAGCTGGACAATAACTAGGGATGACAGGAGGAGAATTGACACCTTTGAGCTGTGGTGCTGGAGAAGAGTATTAAATACCATGGATTGCTAAGAGAACAAACAGGTTCATACTAGAGATGGTTAGACCAGGCTGCTCCATGGAGGCAAGGATTCTGAAGCTTCGTCTGATATACTATGGACATACTACAAGGTAGGGCCAGTCCTTGGAGAGGGACGCCATGCTTGGAAGAGTGGAGAGACAGCACAAGAAAGGAAGACCCTCGATGAGATGGATTGACCCAGTGACTAGGGGAATGGAGTTAGAAGTGTCAGAGACAGCAAGGTTGGTTCAGAACAGAGCAGGGTTCAGAGCTGTTGTACATAGGTTTGCTATGAGTCATAAGTGACAAGACAACACCTAACAACAACTGCCAAGCAATGTATAACTTCAAGTAACCCTATCAACAACAAACATGAACCCTGTTCGGTGCCATCCTTATCATCCCTGACATACTTGTACCCTTTGTTGGAGACACTACATAAATCCATCTCATTGAGTACTGTATGGTACATGGCAGCTAGACTAATAACTGTTCTACAGCAAAGAGTTGTGGTTATTACTCCTGAGTGTCTTCCTCTGCTAACATTTATTTTAACAATGTAAGGGGTAACTAATCTTCTATTTTAATTGCTCTTTATTAACTTGTAAAGGCATTACACGCATTGAAGGCTAAGTATCAGGAAGAGAGAGAGCGCTGGTGACCCCAGGTAGCCACCTAAAGTATGAACTTCTCTAGTTCTACAATCTTGCCTTCAGCCCTGTGTATCAGATATCTTATACTGACAACCCAAGAAAGAAGATTCATGTGTTAGAACTGGCTTTTTATCACTACCACAACTGTTGCTGTTGTTGTTGTTACGTGCCATCGAGTCACCTGGGACTCATTGCAACGCTATGTACAACAGCCCTAAACTCTGCCCTATCCTGTGCCAATCTCACCATCTCCAACACTACTACCCCCCCATTATCCCAGTCACTGAATCAATCCATCTTATCGAGGGTCTTCCTCTCCTGGGCTGTCCCTCCACTCTCCCAAGCATGACGTCCCTCTCCAAGGACTGGTCCCTCCTTACAACATGTCCAAAGTATGTCAGATAAAACTTCAGAATCCTTGCCTCCAAGGAGCAGCCCAGCTTCACCCTTTCCAGGACAAATCTGTTTGTTTTCCTAGCAGTCCAGAGTATATTCAATACTCTTCTCCAACACCACAGACTACCACAACTACTTTATTAAAATTAAGATGATGGGGAACGCCGCTAGAGGGACCCGGAAGAGACCCGGGAAGAGCAGCCAGGGGAACGCACGCCGCCGCCCGCCAG